GCAAGAGTTGGGCCGGTGCCACGAGACCGTTCCTCCTCAAGAAGAGCAGCGGCTCGAGCACGGGTTCCAGTCTCCGCCGTGTCTTCCCACAGGGGCCTGCCCAGCTCTCCCCTCTTGCTCAGCCATGTTTCCACGGCAGCGGGATAAATGCTGAACTATCATCAATGGTTACTCGCAGTGCACCAGGCTCAGCTGGCGGGAGCATGAAGAACGAACGAACGAACGCAGCTACAGCTGAGCAAGTTTCCATGCCTTGGATAGATACCGAGTCCCATTTCCAATCCAATGCGCACAAATCCAGCATGTGCTCGCGAGAGGAACAGAAACAAAGACTTCTGGGGCCCATCGCAAGGGGCACGATCCACAAGCACGTTCTCATGAACTCACCCTGTTGAGCTGCGATGTCCTACTCGCCCCAACGGGACCTGTGCTGGAGATTTAGCCAGCAAAAGGGGGCCCGGCCTCTCCCCCTGCTTTGCTGCCTTCGACTGCACCCAAAATCTGACCGCCCCTTCATCACCTTCCATGACTGGGCTGCTGTGCGTTGTGTCCCTTTGCAACACACAGGACACAAAGAGTCTTCAAGTCACAGTTTGCCATGAAATAACAAAGAAGGAAACCCCCCCCCCATTTTAATTCCATTCCCCACCCCGTGCCATGTTTTTTACATGGCTTACAGAGTTTGTACAAGAAAGACTCTTAGTTTCTATATAAAATTGGCCGTAAAATGTTTATGGTTTCAATATAAATGCAAAAAGATGGGTGAGATTCATTACAGTTCCTGTTTCAGTGCCTGAAGAAAAGGGGGAGGGAAATACCTGCGGGGAGCAAAAAAGACCCATTTTGCAAAAGGAGTGCCCCAGCCCAAGAGCCTATACGTGTGTCTGTGGGGGGGGGGTGCATGCGTGCATCTATATGGACTGCCTGCGTATCACTGCTTTGCACACACAAAAGAGAGGTTGCAGGAAAATGTGAGCTAACGCGACAGGTGATGCTAAAGACGTCGTGCAACTCCATACGAGGTTCATACACTGCGTTTTTCCGCTCTGCGCTCGTTATGTGTTTACAATCAGGGCTCTGATGCTCTTGCTTTGCTCCTATTTATAACTTGCGTTTTCGTCCTTTGCTCTCTTTCATTTCACCCACCACCGTGTGATCATGTTGGGCTGAACTTTGGTTTTGCACTGTTTTAACACCCAGGTTCTAAATATGTAGGCAACCGAAATTAAGTATCTTAAACAACATTGACTTTGATAGGGAGCGATTAAAATGCATGCTGAACTTTTCCAAGGAAGTCAACGGGGCATGCAGTGTGATTCCGGTTGGCTGGACGGTGCCCACAGAATTAGAAGAGTCCTTGTTTGTTAAAAGTAGCTGTGCTGATTATCACCTTCACTTCAAATCATTAAAGCCCAAAATTAAAGCCGTGGGGGGAGATCGAGACAGAATTAATTTGGTCCTTGAAAGCACATATGTGTTGTGTTGCTTCTTTTTTCGAGGTAGCTTTTTCCAGCCAAGAGGATTCCTCTTAGAATATTCCTAATGATCGCAGGGGCTGAAAATATTTTGCAACCTTTCACCTGCTCCAGCATCTGAATGTACCAATACAAAGAAAAAGGCTTGCAGAGTTACAAAACTGTGGATAAAAATTCTAGCAGTGCTTAATCATCGTGTTGCGAGGCGTTACTGGAGAGGGGCCCTGACAGTTAAATATACACTTATTCAGCTCACCTCCTCCTAAAGACAAAAGCAGCAGCAATGCTCACACACGGGAAAGAACGTGCAAAAAAGTCGACACTGCAACACATGCCCTGAAAGACATCGCTCCTGTTTGTTAAATTTGGAGAAATCAACCATACTCTCCCATATTGCATCTTACATAGGGCTAAAAAAAGAAAAATCCCAGGAATCATGGTGTGGTGGTGGTTCTTGTTGTTGTTTTCTTTACACATTTGAGCCATTTCTTTCCACCACTGGCCTCACCTCTCCAAAGGCAACTTGGGGGGGGGGGGCGAGAACAGGGCACGGGGGTGTCCGGCTAGGCGACTAATTACAATCAAGATTCCAGCAGTGTGGCTGGCCAGCTCATTACTTCCTCCCTTTGTACCAAGCCCTGTATTTACATTTGAGATTACATTTTTCATGAAACAGCAAGATCTATCGGAGCTGAGAGGGCTGAAATAATGAGGGAGAAATATTTTAATAAAAATGTGTCGGGTCCCGCGTTTCCGCCCATATCGGGAAAGAAAGGAGGTCCTTTCTGAAGTGATGGATCATTTATTCTGCCTCTAAATGAGAGGCAGAAAAAAAAGGGGGGGGGGAGATGAAACTGATCAACTTTTTACTGCCCATTTGTCTTTTGCAGACAATTAAGACAGGAGATCAAAACGGATTATCGTGCCACGCAGACAACTGGACCAACAGTAATGCATCTCCGGGACCGCAGATTTGTAGCCCTCCTTTTATGCAACCCCCTTTCTTCTTACTCCTTTTTCCTATCTAAAGGCTACGCTAGCTTTGTGGCTCAAGGGGAAGCAAAAAACTGCCCATCATTATTCCACCACAGATGTCAGCCTGACCTCCCTTTTTTCTCGGGTTTCTAAAGCTGGGAGCCACAATAATTTGTGACAGATTCTTTTACTGTAAGGTACAAAGAACACACAGAATAAAACATCCAGCGGCTGGAAAGACTCTGATCAGACGCACAGCCTACATGGGAAACACAGTGTATGTAAAAACAAGCGCCAAGAATTTAGACTGGGGGAGGGCGGGAGCTGCGAGAACTTGGAGGCTTTCGTCCTAATGAGTGAATTGCTTCGTATTGACTTAACGGCAATATTCCTCCCGGATTTCGGATGTCAGCAAGAAACATTTGTCAAGACGCACCACGAGGTTTCTGCGCAAGGAGCCGCTTACATCTAAACCCTATAAAAAGGGACACGCTCCTGTGAAGGCACTGTGAGAGAGGTTCTCCTTGCAGTCTGGTTTATCAAATTTGGCAAGGGACCCTACAGAAAAACGACGAAAAGCAAACTCTTTGCCGCTGCTCGAGCGCCAGAGGAAAGCCAGCCAGGTACCCACCACTCTGCTTCCCAAGCCTCGCGATATGCTCTCCGGATCTTTCGGATGGGGCGTTTGGACATGCCAGATTTGTAAATGGAAGAAAGCAGATTTGCTTTTAAAATGGCTGCCTCCCACTTTCCATAGCACATTAGCAGCATTCAAAAAGCACCGCGAGCCGATGGCATCCGCGGCTCCGCACACACGAGCGCTGAAGCACAGTCGATGCTCTTACAAGGCGTCGAGGGCGCCCAAAATCTGCGTACGACTTGACTTTGAGAAGTTTGCTTCCGTCCCCACCCCCTGCATTGACTTCCACCGTCTCCCTTTTTCTTCCCTTTAACGCACGAGGTGAATCGGCGGATCAGGAAAGTTCTGTCCCGACGAATTCGCCTTGCATCTTCGGCTTTTGTAGGCTCGGTTTGTTCGGAGGTGGCTCGGGCTTGCTGCACGCTCCCGCTCTCCCTTTTTGGTGGTTTCACAAAAGGAAAAATATTTTATGTATGAGACACTCCTATAATCCACAGATCACACACAGGAGACAGCAGTGCGGGGAGACCTTTAATCCGACTGCATTTCAGATGTTAGAGTGGCGGCTATTTCGGCTCACACTGCGGCCAACGCTGCTGCGTGTACTTCGGGAGCTATTTATTAACCGATTATCGGCACGAGATGGCAACAAGGTCTCCTGCAAAAGGATGCTTTGTTTGGCCACCTCCGCCCCGCACAGCAAGTGCCGAATGGGGGCCTCTGTGAATCGGTGGCGGAGCCCGAGCCACACACTGCTGCAAAAAATTAATATTAATACTGGAGCAGGTCCCCAGGAGGGCCGGCCCGGGGACAAGCATTGTCCCAGCCGGTGTATACACCGCTGCAAGACAAGGTCTGCAACCCCGAGGGGCCTCCGCGGAGACGAGCTCGGCAGGCCCGAGCCACCGCTGCGCCTTCCGCAGAACAGAAACGTTTTTAAAAAGCGGGAGGGGGAGCCGAACGGATCAGAATCAAAACCTTCTGTACGAAAATGTAATTAAAACCTGGCACAGGTATTGGCAGAGTTTTCTTCTCTCCTAGCATGGCTGCCCGAGAGTCCTTCGGCTGAACGGCTATTTTCGCGGACGCAACAATAAAAGCATTTGCTCCGCAGATCAAGTTTCAACCCAGAACGCCCGGCTGGGATGCAGGGGCTCATGCGAGCCCCTTCCAGAAGCCGGGGCTTCCCTGGCTGGAAAGCAGGAGGCGGGGGCTGCCTGGATGACAACGGTGCAAAACTCAGCCACCCTCTTCCCGCCCCCCCTTCTGCTGCTCTCTAATGAGATGCATTCAAAGGAGGAAGAAGCGGTCCGGATCAGCAGTAGCTTTCCGTTATATCGCAATCACGCACACAACTATGGCAGAGCAGGTTGTGTTCCTTTCGCCTCTACTCCAAGCACTAATTGCAAAATTCCCATTGGCATTCTGCACGTGGTTCCCCTCCCCCATTTTTATTCCACTACTTCTCCAGTTCTGATGATGTGGCCCTGGGAATACGTGTGTGTGTGTGTGTGTGGTGTGTGCCTGCGCTCAGTGATGCCAAGCAAATTCATAACCCTCACACAGCCAGATAAGGATTCTCTAACGAACGGCACCCTTCCTAGGCGATATAACGCCTTTTCCCTGAAATCTACGAATTTGCTTCCTCAAAATATTCGTCAACTGTGAAAGTCTTACGAAGAGGCAAAAAGCCAATAATCAAGTTTTTCCAGCCTAGTTTACAAATTTTATATATACAATCCTTTAAAAAAAATACCCCAAAAACTCAACTTTCTAATGACGGTTCTTTTTTGTGCTAAAATGTTACTTTACTTTGGGTTGTTCAAAAAAGAAAAAAAGAACAGCCATAAGATGTTGAACAGCCCTGAAATGAATTTTGTCATGTAAAAAATTAATTACGCATTCCAAACCTGGTCACTGTAGTCCTCTGGGAATTGCCGCCGCACCTCAGGATCTGTAAATAATTGACAGATAATATTAATTGGCTTTGGATTAGCGAGCAAGCAGAGAATCATACATTAATATTTGATCAGAGAATGGATAGCAGCCCTGGCAGGGGATCCGAGAAGGGCAGCTGAGGCTGAGGCAGGGATGAGAAGGAGGACGTCTCCCTGAGCCTCTCCTTTTACCCTCTTTCCAGAAAGACAAAAAAGAAATTAGAAAGACCTGATGCCACTGTTAACTTCAGGCTGCCGTCTAATGCAAAACCCGCACCGGGTGCAAATTGCAGCTACATGTTGCATTGCAAGGGAACGGCGGCCCGACCGTGCTCCGACTCCTTATTTTTAATCAGACGCCTCATTTAGACAACTGCAGAAATAGAAGGCGTCTGCCACGACAGGCGTCTTTAAAGGGCCCTGATTGCAGCTCTTGCAGAGCCGACTTGAATCTACCGGTGGAGGGAAAGGGGCTACTCAAAAACTGTGGGGGAAAAGACCCCATGATGCCCTGGCCTTAGAAAACCCTAATACTGGGTCTTCTTCATGCCAGCAAGCCCTTGCCCACCCCAAAAGCAAGTTATCTGGTCCTCATTGCTCAGGATAAACAACGAGGAAGTTAAACAGAAGTAGCGGCGGCTCCAAGCAAGTGCAATTGTATTAAATAGAACAGAAGCAGCAAAAAACAAAACGCAGACAAAAATAATTTTTATGACAAACCCTCTCCAAACAACTCTGCTGTGACCATCTGCTTTTCCCTAACAGCATTTCCATACTTGCCAGGTTCCGTATTATCAGTGTAATTTTTAATTACAACAATAATAGATTAAAAACTAGATGTCTCAGATTTTGTAAATAAGTTGTCATTTCTTCCAGGAGCGCATGGTTAGAGCAGCATTTGGGCACATGCGTGAACATTTTCAGTTCCACAGGCTTGCTGTGCGGGATACATGGTTAGCCAGATGCTTTCCATTTTTGCAGAAAAAAGAAAAATGTTTCCACAAGTTTTGATCATTATGGAGGGAACGGGGATTTGTAAACAATCTTTACTGCTCAATTAGTGCTCTCCTCTGCTGGAGTTAAGGCTTATGGGGCAGCGAATAATTTTATTATGTATACATCATATACTTTTATTTTTTGTTCAATGTCCCACCCTAAGCTCCCTCACAGGCAAAGTTTGTTTTGCTAATAAATTGGTTAATTGGCAGTTCAATTGTTGGCAGATGCAGGATTTCCACTTGCTTTCAACAAAGTATTTAAAATGTACAGTAAGAGAACTTTTTAAGGCAGTTAAGTAAAGGGACTTGCTATTAAATTTTCCATGTGGATCCAAATTTGATCCCTCGTTTGCACAGCTCAACTTGAGAGAACAAACAGAAATTAAGATCCAAATAGATAAAATAACTTATCCAGAAGATGACAGAATAGATTTCTGGCATACCATCATTTGAGATGGAGTGTCCCATCCAGCAAGGTTTTTACCTGCTCTTCCATTCTCTACCTGAAGCTCTCAAAGAAAGTTCAGAAAGACAGAGAGATCATATGAAGTTATTCCCATTCAGTGCACTGTGGATTAATCCCACGTAAACTGATAAACTAGCATAGGGCCAGTGTGGCGTAGTGGTTAAGAGCGCGGGACTGGGACTCAGATGATCCGGGTTCTGGTCCCCGCTCAGCCATGGTGCCAATTGGGTGACTTTGGGCCAGGCACAGACTCTCAGCCCAATCTACCTCACAGGGTTGTTGTTGTGGGGAGAAGATGGAGGAGGAGAGATGATGTAAGCTGCCTTGAGCCCTTTGTAGGAAAAAGGCAGGATAGAAATCAAAAAATCAATCAAAATCAATCAATCATTCCTAAATTCGTATGAGAACGCCACCGACAGCTTTGTGCCGGTTCCCTTAGCGGCGTTTGGAGACATGTTTGCAAGGAAATGCAATGCCAGATTCCGGAGAATCCAAGTTTATTGCGAATGAGCCGGAGGCTGCCATATGGAGCGCCTTCAGCCTGGCTTGGGCTCTCCCAGCGGTCTAAGCAGCCCCTCCTTGGGTCAGCTTACCGTGTCATCTAACCTGGGATCCTGGCTTAGCACCCCCCCCCCGCACCAAATTACCCATCATTTTAAAGATAAAACAAGCTGCGCTTCAGGATGCTTGTCCAAACTCGGGTTCAGACGACGTGCTAAGTGAACCGCTTCAACTGGAGCCAACGGGAGCAGCCAGGCTGGAGCGACGAGCTGCGAGCGTGGCGTCCAGCGCCTCCGTGCGAAGCCAAGAATCCCACTCGGCGCTCGGCCCAAGCGCAACCCGCCCGATGAGGGACGTGACTGGAGAAGGTCGACGGGGAGAGCGGCCACCCAAGGCAAGGCGGAAGAGAGGCGCCCAAACGTGCTGCCGCCCATGTGGGTTTCGGTGCCGCCAGCTCCACCCCGTCGATCTGTGTGTGAGTCGGGCTGCCCACTGAGGTTCTGCCAGGATCGTTTGCGGCAGGAGCAGTTCTGCAGCCCCTTTGCTGCATAACCCGACTCCGAATCCCGGCAGACCACAAAACTGATGTGTGCTGCACACCCCACGTGCTGCAAGCGATCTTCTTCCCAAAGCACAGGGATCGGCTCTGCACAAGCTTTCGGGAGCCGTCTCACAGGGAGAGACGAGCCGCTGCTGCATCCCGACTGGCCTTACCCACCCCAAATGGCAGCTGTTCCCTGGGGCCCAGCCAAAAGAGGCCCTCCCAGCCCTGCCGCCCAAGCTCCTCTGAAGCCGGTGGTGGCAACGAAGCGAGTCTGGGGTCCTCTGGGGGCAGGGCAGGTGTCCTACAAGTGAACTGCCCCCTCCCGGCCACCTGCATGTACAAACCCCAGCACACAGCTCCCGTTCCATCACCAAATTTGCCCCCAGGCCCCGACACCCCGAAGACACAATTCGGTACCCATCCCGGTTCTCCACAACCCAGGCTACTCTCTCCAAACTCCGTGCTGGCTGTGGCAACCTCCCCCTGCGTGACCACTAGCCATGGGGAGAACAGAAGCCAGGATCCTTCCAGGGCTGCAAAAGGTCCTCGTTAAATACCTTCTCTGCAAAATGAGATGATGACATGGAGGAACTCGCCGGCAAAGCTTTCAGGATGCCGAAGGGTTGCTTTTGTGATTACTTGGAGCGGGCCTTCCTGTCTGTTTAGGAAGCCCCTCAATTCTCTTCCTTCAGCTTGAAAGGCTGCTACACCTTAGCCGGAAGACCCCTCCAGGACGATCCCTCACACACGACGCTCAGGGCGACCAGAGAACGACGCGGGATTCCGCCAAAGGCCCACCTGGTCCAGCATTTGGTTTCCCCAAAGGTCAGCCAGACGCCACAGGAAGTCCACACGCAGGATGAAGCCAACCTCACCCTCTCTGGCTCACGCTGTGTGGCGACCAGCACCGAGCGGCAAGCCGCCTCCAGCACCCAAGGCGATTTAGAGCTATCTGGACCAGCAGCCACCAAAGATCTCGGGGTGTAGCTCCCTGCATATTAGACTGCACCGAGTCCCACAAATTCCAGCGTGCCTCACCCAGCCAGGAAGCTGCAAGGCTTCTTCCTGCCTCTGCAGAATGCATGGCACACCGCTCTGCTCCTCCATGAATTTGTCCTTCTGAAGCCACCCAAGCCGGTGGGCATCGCCGCCGCCGCCACCGCATGGGGGTGAGCTCTGCAGTTCAAATAAGCCCTGTGGGAACCACCAATTCTTGGTACCTGTCCCACATTCCTCACCACTTTGGTTCACTGGGGGACGGCGGTTCTAGAATTATGGGATCAAGAAAATTCTTGCCCTATCACCTTCTTTGCATAGCACACATCCCTCAGGGTTGCCCATCTATTCCCCTTCGAAGGCACACTTTATGGAGCCGCTCCAGCCCCTTCCTCTGCTTCGCTGCACTTTTCCGCTCTTCTTTTGCTTCCGCGCGGTGGAAAAAACGCGCAGCGCATTCGAAGCAGTCACACCATTGGCTTGCGCAAAGGCATTATGGCAGCGCAAATTTCCTTTTTATCTTTTTACTCATGATCCTGGGCAAAGAATTTGCCTTTCGAGCTAAGCAGCGGGTTGATATTTCTATCGAATTGTCCACCGCAACCCCAAGATTCCACTCTGGGTTCACACTCCATAACCAGATATGTGGTCAGGAATCTTTGCCCGAGCGTCCATCCCTTTATCCTTGTTTATGATAGCTCTAGATTATTCAACAGCTGAAGCTTTCTGGGTGGTTCACAGCAATTAAAGCAAAAAGCAAAAGAGGATAAAATACAGTATAACAAATTCTGAAGTTTGAGACTACAGCAGAAAAGGAAAAATCAAACCTTGCCACAGGGCAGATTTAAAAGACAAAACCAGATTTAGAGCTAAAACGGCAAAACTAGAATGTCTGGGAAAGGAAGACGTCGTACACAGGCCTCTCAGAGAAGCAGTTCCACAACCAGGTGCCACGAGAGAAAAAGGGTCTTCCTTGGAGACAGACACCTTGCTCTCTTTGGCAGCAGCTCATGAATAAAGACACCTGCAGTTGACCCAAGGGTCCAGCCAGGTGTATACAGGAGACGACAAACATTCAGGTAAGCTGGCTCCAAGGTATTTATGGCTTTGGATATTCGTGCCAGTGCTCTGAAAGGCCCAGATGGGAAAGTTCCAGCATAATACGACCCGACTTGTCGGCCCCTTTTAACGTTTTCATTGCCTAGTCCTGGATCAGCTGAAGGTCTGGGACCATTTTCAAAGGCAGCCCCATATACAGCACTGAAGTTGCAGCACTTCAGACAAGAAGTTATCGGAGCGTGGTTACCTGTAGCTAAGCTACCTCTGACCCTGTAAAGAAATTGCTGGTATATCGCTAGTTTAAAATAATCCATAACTGGCTTTCTAATTCCCATTTCTCAGCTCTGGAGAATCCCTTTTATGTTTCCACTGTGGATAAAACGCATCAGGCCCGACCCCCTGCTTCTGGCAGGACCTCCAAGTTGAGATACCCCTCAGCAGTGGCTGCCCGGC